AGAAGAGAAACCAAAAATTATAAAAAAGAAAAGAAAAAAATAAAAAAAAATGAAGGGAGGGTAAAAGGGGGGGGGGGGGGGGGGGCGATGAACGAAAAGGAGGAGGAGGAGGAGGAGGAGGAGGAGGGAGGGAAAAGAATGGCAATTGCGTGAGGAAATCTGTTACAACCCATCCAGGGAATGTATATCCATATGTATTGTATTGTATGCCAAAGAAGCTCGTGAAAAAAAAAAAAAAGAGGCAAAAAAAAAAACCGTTTTTTTTTTTTCTTTTTGCTTTGTTGTTGTTTTTTTTTTTGGTTTTGTTTTTTTTTTTTGTAGAGCCGTTCCTGCACAATAAATGAAGACTACATCGACACCAACTAACCCAAATAAGGGAGCACGAGGGGTCCAATCCTTTAGGACGCATTTCCTTTTCATCCCCCTTTTTATTTGTTGTTTTGTTTTGGATGGATGGATGGATGGAGACATCTTTTTTGTGTGTGTGTGTGTTTGTGTGGTTGTTTGTGTCTTCCTTTTCTTTTTCTTTTTTGTTTTAATATTAAAAAAAAAAAAAAAAAAAAGGAATACAAAAAGGCATTAACTTTAATAACAGCGGGATACATACACACACACATATTTGCGTGTATGTTTGTAATGTACACGATAATGTGGAGAGAAGTTATGCACATAAAAGACGAAGAAAAAAGGGAAAAAAAAAAAAAAAAAAAAAAAAATGAGGAGGAGGAGGAGGGGAAGAGGGAAAAGAGGAAGCGATTTCCTTTTTTTTTTTTTTTTTTTTTTTTTTTCAGTAAAAAATGATGGAATTATGAACTTAATGTGCTGAAACCAGGGCGATTGAGAGGTTTTGCGTCAATGTGCCTCCTTACAATAAATAAATAAATAAATAAATAAAAAAGCGTGTGTGTGTGTGTGCGTGGGAGAGAAAAAAGAAAAGAGAGCGAGAGAGAGGGAGAGAGCGATCATGTCACTATGCATGCTTCTCCAGAAGGAAAGAGAAAAAAAAAAAAAAAAAAACAGTGGCTGACACATAAACTCAAAATTTTTATACTCAATTAAATGAATTTCGTGCAATCCAGTGCATCTGCTTTTGGTGTGACTTGCGTATTTTCATTTTGTTTGTTGTTTCCCTCTTCTGCAAAGGGGGGGGAGGAAGGGGAAGTGGAAATGAAAACCAAAAAAAAGAAATATATAAATATATATATATATATATGCCTGCTCCCCACTCCCCACTCCCCCACCACATACACACACGAATTGCTTCCATGTAACCATTTCCTCTCTTTTATGCTCAATGGCGCCTTCAATGGTGATTTATTCATGCCATGCACACACCCTTGTATACATGTACACACACACGTATACATATATATGTGTTTATGTATATGTAGACGTATGGCTTTCTTTCCTTCTTTTTTTTTTTTTTGGTTTGTTTGTTTGTAGACGTTTATGTACGGGGCTTTGTTTGTTTGTTTGTTTGTTTTTCCGTGTTGTCTACTGAATTTCTTGTATAAAGATATATTCTTGTTTTGTTTTTGTGCTTGTGTTCTTTTTTTTGTTTTTTCTTTTCTTCTTTTCTTCTTTTCCTTCCAGTGGCTGTTAAGTTTTTGTATGGGAGAGACGTTTGCACCCAAACGCAGCCTGTCCAAAGTACTTTCTATTTAAAATGGTGGCCGTGTTTTTTGTTGTTTTTTTTCTCTTCTGTTTTTTTTTTTGAAAAGGCAGGCAGGCAGGAGGGTCTTTTATTTGTTGTTGTTGTTGTTTGCCTCCCATGACTTCTCTCCTTCTGTCTGTCTGTGTGTTTTCATTGTTATTATTTTGCCTTCTTTCTTTCTTTCTTATTTGTTTGTTTGTGTTCGTCTCAATGAAGGAAAAGGAAAGGGGAAAAAAAAAGAAGAAGAACAAAAAACAGAACAAAACAAAACCAAAAAAAAAAAAGGGAATTAAGAAAGAAAGAAAGGGAGAGTGAGAACAAAACAGAAGGGAAAGAAAAAAAAAAAAAAAAGGGAGGGGAGGGGAGGGGGGGGAAGAGAAATTTAAAACACACACACACACACACACACAGACAGACAGACAGAAGGAGAGAAGTTCTGCTCTGCCCTGCGTCTGTGTTGTGTGCTGACATCCGAGAGCAGTACGACCGGCCCACTGCCTGCATACATAACACATACGTCTGCACATATTACATATATATTCATCTATACGGCTTGCTCTGTCCGCGACTGTGCCTGAGGTGGTGCGTGAGCGACGACGGAAAACAACAAAATAATAAAAGGGAAAACAAAAGTAAAAAAAAAAAAACAGGAGGAAGAAATATATTATATATATTTATATATATAATATA